TTTTTTTTTTTTTTGCTTTTCTGCCCATTCACAAAGCCATCACAAATTATTCTGATCCTATCTAACACAGTTAAATCTACTTTCATACAAAATTTAACTTTTGAAAATATGAAGATCTCAAAAGAGTAAGACTCATACTGGCTCCAGGCTCAGGGAAGTGACCAGACTTTTTCCTTCCTTTATTGTTTTGGGTTCCTTTATTATTTGGCTTCATATTATGAAAATAACATCATGTTAGAGTTTTATAAAATTGTGTTTTCCCTTCTCTGAAACTATTGTTTAAGAACACTTTCTCATATAATATTTTCTTATGCAAACTTTTCATTGCCTTGCCCTCAGAGGTGAGATTTGCTCTGGGCTTGGTGCTGCTGTTGGGAATTTTGCCATTTGGTTGGGAATGGAAGTGAAAACCAGAACTCTTCACATGGGGGAGTGTCCACATCATTTACATTGTGACACTTCTTTCATATAGAGACTCTTTATAATGAATGATAGTTTGTTTCTCTATAATTCTTGGGTGAATATAGATCTATCCCAACTTGATCCAACTGCAGCTTGGATCTAATTAATCGCAAAAGTGGTGAGCATTTATAGTGGTAGAAATAGCAACTATTTGGGTCATCCTTGACATTTGACCGTCTAACCTGTCCACAAATTTGTTTCTGGATGAGAAACTTGACCCTTTTTCAGATAGCTCATCCCATTTTGAACCATATTAAGTGCGTGATGTAGTGCTTATTCAGGAAATTATTATTTGCTGATGGTTTTTAAATGAAAGCCAATTAAGATTATTGATTTAATATTAATCTGGCAATGGAATGATTAATTTAAGCTTTTGTTAGAGTACATGATGTAACCATGAGGAATCGTTCAGAGACCTACTGCTTTTGGTGTCCTTTGTAAATGGATATTTAAAAATGCTGGTCTTCAGTTTTTGGCCTCTATAATTGGATATTGGAAAACAGGTGGGTTTTATGTATCAACCCCCAGTGACTTTCTAAATTCATTTGGTATTTATTGAAATTGTTCTGTAGCTTACCCCTAGAACTTTGTGTGGAGATAGCATATCTAGAGATAAGGTCATTTTTGACCTTTATGCCTGTTACTTCTTTTTCTTGCTTTATTGCAGTAACTGGAGGCTTTAGTACAATATGTATTAGGAGTGGTGAAAGCCAGCGTTTTTACCTTGATCCCAGTCTCAGGGGACGTTGTTAAATATGATGTTGGCTGTACATTTTTGTGGATGCCATTTATCACTTTGAAGAAGATGCCATTAGTTATCTTTAATTGACTCTTCAACTTGTTTCCTTCCCTTCGAGGATGTTTTGTTACTTCCAGACAGTGGCTGTCTCTTTCCTTATTACATCTCCAGTACCAAAATGCTTTGGTGTATATTTTTGAAGGAAGCACACTAAGAATAATAAAACTTCTTTCCCTTCACAAACTACTAATGATTTTTTTTTTTTTTAATTTTTAGAGATCCTGAACTTTCAACTGTTTGTCGGAAGTCTGATACATTAATATTATATCCAGGGGCTGAAGCTGCTAATTTGGAAGAATTTATATTAGATTCTCCTGTTTATCCTTCCACAATCATCATCATTGATGGTACATGGAGCCAGGCTAAGGACATTTTCTATAAGAATTCTTTGTTCCGCCTGCCCAAACAGGTAACCTAGTATTTTAACATAGAACAAATGCAATTGTGTAATTTTGTATGTTGTATATGCTTTCTGTGAGGGGTCACACTTACATTTTTATATACGTATTTGATAGTATTTATGTGCGTGAATGCATGTACATAGATATGTATATGCTTGTGTGTGTTTGATATATATATATGTGGAAAATTTGAAATTTGTTCATCTTTCTCAATTCTTAGCACCAAACTTCACCATGGTTAAAGTATTTGACTATATTAAGAGTATCTCAGACGTTTAATCCGTGAAGTGTAAGGACTAATTATTTCTATGTGAATTAATGTTTTTGTTAAGTGTTATGTTTAAATACTTCTATTTGGTAACTAAATACCCTCTTCTTGTTAGGAATGACTGAATTTTCATTTATTATTTTAATTAGTTTATCCCTCAATTTGTTGATGATGATACATATCTTGTATTGAGCCATTCTTTTGTTCTTGGAATGAAGTCCGCTTGATCATATATATTATCCTTTTGATAGATGGCCAAATCTCATATTTTATTAAATGCCATTTGGACTGCCTGGGTGGCTCAGTCAGTTAAGTGTCTGACTTCCGCTCAGGTCATGATCTTGCAGTTCTTGAGCTCGAGCCCTGCATCTGGCTCTGTACTGACAGCTTAGAGCCTAGAGCCTGCTTCAGATTCTGTGTCTCCCTCTCTCTCTGCCCCTCCCCCGATGGTGCTCTGTCTCTCCCTCTCTCTAAAAAATAAACATTAAAAAAAGTAAAAAAATATATATATATAGCATTGAATTATAATTTGTATATTTTTTGTACTTTTATTATCAGATTTGGTTATGCAGATAATCTTAACTTTACCAAATGAATAGGAGAGATTTTAATATTTTTCCATGGCCTAGAATAGTTTGAATAATATTGGAATGCCTTGCTTCTTAAAAAATTAGATGGAACTTATAGGTGAAACCCCCTGGTCCTGGTCTTTTTTTAAACATAATAACTTTTAAACTCTTCTTTCAAACTCTTATGGAAATTATTCAAACTTTCTTCTTCTATTTGGTTCACTTTTTAAATAACTTTTATCTTTTTTGGGGGAATTGTTTCTTTTTCACCTGAGTTAACAAATTGCCTGATATATACCTGAATATATTCTTAAATACTTATTTTAATTTATTCTGAATATGTCCTTTCTCCTTTCTAATCATATACTCTCACTTTTTCTCCCCATGAGCATGTTCAAAAGATGTTTCTACCTTTTTATTTAGCTTTTAAAAGTATTAGCCTTTAGACTATTTTGATGGCTGTTATACTTCATTCTTATTTCCTTCATTTGTACTTTTATCTTGATCACTTTCTTTCATCTTTTCCAGCTTGTTCTGTTTTTGTAAGGTTTTACTGTGTACTATGTTCCTTTACTAAGGTGAGTCCCTTCTTTAATAATAAAGGGAGAGAAGGCTGCCATATTTCTTAGTGTAACATTCATTGTATCCTATAGTTTGGGGTTGATGTATGTTTGTATTTATAGCATTGATATAATTTGTAATTTGTGTTGATTTCTTTCTACCCATGGATTATCAATGACTTCTTAATTCTCATGCATTAACAACACTTTTGTCCCTATTTTATTTTTATTTCTTATTTTGTTAGATTGTGATAAAAGAAGGTTGCCTGCAATATTTTGAATATGTTTATGATTTCTATGTGGGTTAGTACATGGCAATTTTTTGTATCTTTTCTGTGATGATAAAAAATTCACATTTTCAAATGATGAAAATATTTCCCTTTTTAAGGTTTGTTATTTGCATTTTTCTTTATACTTTTGTTTTTGTCATCTATGGGTGTTTGATACTGAACAAGGTGTATGAGAAGCTTCCGTTCAGTCTTTTAAATGAAGTTATCTCTACCTTTCCTATAGTTTTGTGTATTTATCTGCTCTGTTGTATATATAACAAGACATGCACTTAGTGAAAAATAATATAGATTTTAATAGATTATTTTATTCTAAGATAATAATAATAGATGCTGACAATCTAATCTCAAATTCTTTGTAGTTTTCATTCCCTTTGGTTAAAATGCAGGTACGGTTTTTAAATGAGACTGAATTATGCAAAAATAGTTCAAAAAAATAGCTAATGTGTTGAGTGCTTTGAATGGGCCAGTCCCAATTCCAGGTGTTTTCCACGAAGTAACTTGTTTAAATCTTCCTCAAAGGATTGTTACTGTCTTAGGTAACATGTAAGGAAACTGAGGTGCAGATGTCTTAAATAGTTTGTATTAGATCACATAACTGTTTCACAGCAGAGCAATTTCAACCCATCTAGTTTCGAGCCAAAGACTGTGGTCTTATCCAAAGTGGCATGATGCTTCTAAAAGGGAAGCTTCCATCGAGGATACTTACCTAGGATAGCTTCTGTAAGTTTATCTGGTTTCTTAAGTGTTCTGTGTTCCACAAGAACCAACTCCTAAAGGCATGGTTGCTGTTAGGTTGTGTCACATTTTAGCAAAATTTGTGTTCATATTACAATTAGATATTGCCCAATATACAAGGAAAGTTTAATGAAAGTCTTGTATCTGTAAAATGTCTTAGTGAAAATATTTGAATTGTTTTTCCTTTTCTGCATGCTTATGCTATGTCTGTGTCTCTCATCTTTCATTTTGTGGTAGCTACGTGAATGCCATAGAAATAAACTACAAAGTCACCGTAAAAAGATTAAAAGATATTTTAAAATTTATTATTTACCAAACCTGTTTTCTTCTTTAAATTGAGTAGCGGATAAGGAAATAGGTAAATTAAATAGTTTCCTCAGTCTGACTGTGCTGTATGTTTTTTATCACTTTTTCCTTTTCATGTTTTCCCAAACCAGAAGCAAATATAGGTGGATATTTGTTTATCCTTGAAAAGGATATATTACAACCATCCGATAAAATAAAATGCTTAAAAGAAACATTAAATAGATTTGAGTACACGGGGGAGAATACCACCTTAAACTAAAGTGAAAGGCAGATGGTTTTCTGGAAAACTGTGAATCCAATAAAAGCTTCATAAGCTTAGATTTCTTACAAATGAATAAGGTGAAGGTGAAAATCTTAAAAAAAAAAAAAAAGGCCATACATATGAAAACAGAGTTCACAAAAGAGAAAATAAATGTATTTATAAAAATCATAATTTAACCTTTATGTTGAAAGAGGTTCAGACGTCCAGAAAACATCCTGTATTATCCAGGAATAATACAGACATCCCTCAAATGCCCTTAAGTTTTAACATTATGCATTATTTGCCTTATCAGTCTCTCTCTGTGTATTTTATACTTTTCTGAGCCCTTTGAGAGTAAGGAATAGATATCTAAATTTACTTTTTGAAATTGAAATGTTGCTAGTTCTAGCAAGAATGTCTTTTCCTAAATATTTTTTTTTTTTGGCCCGAAATAAAAAAAATAGTAATTTAAAGCCCAACACAATTTACAAAAATGTGTATATCTTGAGATAGTTTCATCTTAATATACATGGGAAATGTGGGTCATCTTAGGAATAATAATACGTATGGCTTTTTAGAGTGTCATACAATACCCAGCCCAAACATGAGTGTGGGTTGGTTTGACAAAATATGTTTCTGGAGGTTGTTGCAAAAACCAGTGAAATATGTACATTTACTCTTTCTGAAAAAAAAAAAAAAGATTTTTATCTGTATACATACACATACATATACACAGATGGTTAGGTAAGTTGAGATGAAAAAGGGATTGATTTAAAAAAAATTTTTTTTTAACGTTTATTCATTTCTGAGAGGCAGAGAGCGACAGAGCATGAGCAGGGAAGGGGCAGAGAGAGGGAGACACAGAATCTGAAACAGGCTCAGGCTCTGAGCTGTCAGCTGTCAGCACAGAGCCCGACATGGGGCTTGAACTCATAGACTGTGAGATCATGATCTGAGCTGAAGTTGGATGCTCAACTGACTGAGCCACCCAGGTGTCCCAATGGGATTGATTTTTTAAAATGGAAATATCTTTAGACATCTATAAAATGATACTGATAATTATAGTGGTTTGGTAATAAGTTCTGAACTACCTTCTGTAACACTAAATTGCTTATTTTTAATATATTTTCCCATTCTTGAAAAATTTCCCATTCATATGTAATGATTTTTATTTAATTAGTAACTGTTCCCCAGCTTTTCTGGAAAACAATTTTATTACACAATAGACTTTCCCAGTGGCCCTGCTTTAATAAGTGAATACACTTAAGCTATAGGTAACATGCATCATTCATGAGTAATTAATGACAGAAGTCCATCTCTAACTCAAACAAAAAAGCAAAGTATACAGGTCATGTAATGGGGAAGTTCAGAATGGGTAGTTGCAGCTTCAGATTTGCCTAGATCTGGTTCTCAAGCAGCTCTCTGTTTTGGAGGTTTGTTTCCTTTTGTGTTAGCTTGAATTATCTCTTGCACAGAATGGACTTCCTCCCTGCTGCTGAAAGACGTCTGTGTAAAGCAGCAGATTGGTCTCCCCTTGGCTTTATTTATCTTAACAGAGAGGTGATTTCTTTTCCCCAGAGCAGAATCCCCCTACTGTTGATGTAGGGGTGAATGGTGGTACCACTGTTGACAGCAGGACCACATGAATCTGGAAATTTCTTCAAGGACTTGGGATGTTGTTATCAGGACTATTTAAAGTCATGGATGGGCAGACAAAAAATTTATAGATAACCAGACTATTATACATCAGTTGTTTACTTATGAAAGTATGTTTGTTTATAGATATTTCTTGATTCATTCAAAATTAGTACTGTATAGAAATATTTTCATAATTCTTTCTTGTGGTCTTGTTCGGCAAGGGAAAAACAAAAATGTAAAATATGACATGAAACTTTAGTTCTTGCCTAGGTTTCCCAATCTATAAATAACATAAGTTGATTAGATTTTATTTCTAAATGTAATTTGTCAAAAAAAAATTTTTCTTTAACCACACCATCAGTACACTTATTTCCACTTACCTGCTTTTTGGATAAATTTGT